AACAAAGAGATGATACCAACAACAGTTATAATTAAGCAATGAATCAATACCTTTCAAAAGAACATTTTTCACAGTTAGTTCAGTTAATTAAGAAAGTTAAGGTTGCAGATTCAGGAAGTTCTACTTCAGAAATTAATGCAAATGTAGTTGCTGGTACTATTATCAAATACACTAGTTCTTGTTTTCTGTTTTTAATTCCAGCACTTGGATCATTGATTCAGAAGCATTAGAACACATGTGTTTTGATTCAAATACTTTTATATCTTTAACTTCACTACTTGCTCCCTTACATATAAATCTTCCCAAATCTTTCAAGGTAATAGTCACTCGTACAGGAAGAATCTCAATCCTTCCTGATTTTGTCTTAGAGAATGTCCTACATGTACCTAGTTTCATATACAATCTGCTATCTGTTAATAGGTTTTGCATGCAGTTTCATTATATAATCTCACTCACTTATAGTCAATGTTTGTTGCAGGCCCATTTAATGAAGAGGCCTCAAGTTTTTGATGAAGTAAGAGAAGGCATATACCTATTGGAACCTAGTGCTATTCGGACTAGTTCAAAGGAATTATAGTTTTAGTTTCAAAACATAGTAGTTTTAATCATGTTCCAGTATCTTTTCCTTTATCTGCAAGTGCAGTTTTTGATGTACATATTTGGCACATTAGACTGGGACATTTGCCCTTTCCATCAATGAAGCATCTCGGTTTTATTTCATTTCCTCCTAATTTTGAATGTTTATGTGATGTTTGTCCTAAGGCTAGGAAAACTAGAGTGCCTTTTCCTTTGAGTCAAATCAAATTAAAAAAAGTATTTGATAATTGGGATCCTTATAAGATTCCCACTTATAATGGTTTCAAATATTTTTTAACTGTGGTAGATGATTACAGAGGTACATGGACCTTTCTGTTAAGTACCAAGAGTAATGCCTTTGTGGTTTTGAATAACTTTTTAACAATGGTTGAAAGATAATTTGGGGTCAAAATGCAGAAAATAAGAACTCACAATGCATTTGAGCTTGGAAAAGAAACTCAAGAGGCTGCATTTCTTAGTTCTCAAGGGATACTTCATCAAACATCTTGTGTTACAACACCTCGACAAAATGGGATAGTTAAGAGAAAACACAGGCATCTTTTGGAAATAGCAAGGGCATTGCTTTTTCAATCACAAGTACATATTCCCTTTTGGGGAGAATGTTTGTTATCTGCCACATATTTGATTAACAGATTACCATCTAAAGTTCTTAAAGGACAGACACCTTACTCGATTTTGTTGAACCATTCACCCTCTTATCAGTTTTTCAAGAGTTTTGGTTGTCTCTGTTATGTGTCTACATTATCAAATGGGAGAAGTAAATTTGATCCAAGGGCAAAGGCTTGTGTGTTTTTAGGATATTCTTTAGGACAAAAGGATACAAAGTGTTGGAAATATATACAAAGAAGATTATTGTATCTAGGGAGGTTCACTTTTATGAAGACAAATTTCCCTTTACCTCAAACATTTCACCTTCAAATTGTGTTTTTCCCATTCCTACACTTTCAGATACTACACCTAGTAGCTTTTCTTCAAGTCCTGAGTTGATTGATCCTATCATACCTAGTTATCCTAGTCCAACCAGGTTTTCATCATATCAAATTCCTCATTCTCCTACACCTAATACTTCTGGAATGACTGATCCTATCATACCTAGTTCTCCTAGTCCAGTCAGGATTTCATCACCTCATACTCCTCGTTCTCCTACACCTAATACTTCTAGACACAATAATACCCCTACACCAGATCTCAGAAAATCAACTAGAGTTACTAAGTGGCCAAGTCATCTGAAAGATTTCATCTACAATAACATATACCTAACAAAGTTGACTTCCACCTGCTTTGCCCAGCCTAGTCAGCCTAAAATCTATTCTTTTGGAGCACTTTTCTCAACATAATCAGCAGACGATACAATCCATTTCAGAAGTTTATGAACCTGCCAGTTTTTCTCAAGCATCTATGCATCCAGGTTGGCAAAAGGCCATGTCTACAAAACTTGAATCTTTGGAAGCAAACCATACTTGGGATGCAGCTCCCTTGCCAAAAGAAAAGAAGGCTTTACCTTGTAAATGGGTTTACAAGGTAAGACACAACTTAGATGGCAGCATTGAGAGACTTAAAGCACGACTGGTTGTTAGGGGGGATATTCAGAGAGAAGGGATAGACTACACTAAGACTTTCTCTCCCGTGGTTAGAATGACTACTATACGTTGTTTGTTATCAGTAATAATCAAGAAAGGTTGGCCAATTTACCACTTGGACGTGGACAATGTATTCTTACATGGGGATTTGCAAGAAGAAGTTTTTATGAAGTTTCCCTCAAGTTTATCCTCTCCTAGCCCTAATCATGTGTGTTTCCTCAGAAAATCTTTATATGGTTTAAAGCAAGCTTCCCGACAATGGTATGCTCGGCTTGCAGAGGCGTTGAGCTTCAAAGGATATTCATCTTCGCGAAACGATTATTCTTTATTTTTGTAAGAAGCAGGGTGATCTAATTTGTTTTATCGCAATTTATGTGGAAGGCATCATTAATAGTGGAAACAATCAAGAGGAAATTACAACACTAATTATTTTTCTTAATTCTGAATTCAAAGTCAAAGATTTAGGACATTTACATTATTTTCTAGGTACGAAAATTCTGAGGGAAGCACAGGGAATAATAATTTGTCAAAAAAAATTCACCTTGGATTTGCTGAAGAAGTTTAATGTTTCTGCTTTGCCTTGTGTTTCTTCACCCCTCGAGTCATCCTCCAAGTTATATGCAGATAAATGGCCTTTGCTTTAAGATTCTATTGTCTACATACACCTTGTTGGGAAGCTGAATTATCTTACCCACACTCGACACGTTCTCTCTTTTGCTGTATTGAAGTTGAGTCATTATATGCAAAGTCCTCGACCTTCACATTTATCGGCAGCACTTCGTGTATTGCATTTTTTACGCTCAGATCCAGGTCAGGGGATCATTTTACACTCCAATCCTATACTCAATCTGCTTGTTTTTTGTGATGCAGATTGGGCTTCATGCCCGGAGACTCTGAGATCTATGAGTGGTTTCTATATCACTCTTGGAGGTTCACCGATTGCTGGAAATCGAAGAAACAAATATCAGTGTCTTTGTCTTTCGCTGAGGCAGAGTATCGCTCCATGCGCCAAGTAGTTTACGAATTGACTTGGTTCACCCGTCTTCTCAGCGACATCTCTGTTTTACCATCTTTGCTGGTACTAGTTCTCTCTGACAACAAAGCATCGTTTCACATCGCTCGGAACCTCTTTTTACATGAGAGGACAAAACACGTGGAACTAGATGGCCACTTCGTCCAACAACAGTTCCTTTCAGGGTTGATTACTCTCTCATATGTACCTTCATCGACCTATCTGGCCGATCTATTTACCAAATCGATGTCAGGACCTTCACACAAATTTCTTCTCACCAAGTTGGGCGTAACTTCATTACCCTCCAACTTGGGAGGGGTGTGTGTGTGTTGAGAAGAAACCCCATGATTCAATTTGTTCAAGAGAAGAAATACAGAGGCTAGGTTAAGAAGGAAAAACATCGAAGTCATCTATAGGGTTTCAGACACAACAAGGTAACTCTTCGGAGTTATCTAAGTCAAGAGATGTATCTACACATTTGAATATGACACGTGGTTCGATCTCAGCCCTTGAACGAGTTTCTGATGGATTAAATAAGAACCCTTCAGATTATTAGATAGACAGTTGTACCACATTGGATTTCAATATTATGAAATGTGTAAATGAGATAGGAAGGAATAAAATTTGGTTAGTTTGTTATTTCATAGCAAATAGAATTTAGACAATTGTATAGGATTTGATTATTCTTTCTGTTTTTTTACATAACTCAATATTTTATAAATACATTATCTTGTACAGAAAGTAATACACAGAAAATTCTCCTAGCTCTTCATTTTAGAATCCTTCACTATAAAAGAAATTAGAGAACGAGCCCAAAATCACCCTAAGCCGTTAGGTTTAGACTTAAAATCATCTATATTCTTTTATATGTAGCACTAATAGTCCTCCTTCTGTTTTAAAATGGTATATTTATAATCTCTTCACTAATCAACATTAACTTTTAATAGAAAAATAGTTGATGGATATGTTATTCAAACTAAATATAAATAAAAGAATCAATAATACCTTATACTAGAAATTTGAAGAACATATAATCATGACGATAACATCAACTAAGAAACAAAATGAAATTTATTCATATAACATTAATCATATTGTAATTTACTCATGCATGATATCAACAAATAACAAAGGAAAAAAAAATTATTTGCGTAACTTTAACAATAATTTTTCTTATTCCTATCATTTTTTTATTGCAATGATTTTCACCATATCGAAAGTAGAAAAGATTATCTAATTTTTGTTGGAATATGGAGGAAACGATTATGTTATTAGAGAAGGGACTAAAAGCGCACCAATATGATGAACAATTAGGACCATTAATCTTTGATGTGAAAGAATAGGTATGTCTTTGAATCTAAGCCCAAAGACGAGGGATGATTTTGGGCTTTTCAAGTTTTTAGGTTGCCGAATTGACAAGCGACACTGAAGTCGCCGAATGCACGAGCGACCTAACATTTAGGAATGTTAACGCTCTATGTGAAAGAATATGGATGACTTTGAATCTAAGCTCAAAGATGAGGGATGATTTTGGGTTTTTTAAGAAAATAATTGGAAAAATAACACTGTATAGCCACTTTCAAAATAATAGCCGAAAAAAATATATTTTTTGTATATGTATTCTGTATGTTATATACAAATATTATTCAAATTTTATATATTTTTACTATTACCAAATATAAATAGTTTCTGACGGGGGCTAAAAGTGAAAAAAACCCAAAATAATTGGGGTCGCCTGATATATAGGCGAGAGTCGCCGAATACACAGGCGACCTAGTGTTATATTGTAGTACTCCATCAGTCTATCTCTTCAAAATTGGGGTCGTTCTGCTATTTATAAAACTTGTGGGAATATATTTTTCCTCCTCTTTTCTTTTTCACACAGTAGTGCGTTTTTTCCTGCTCGTCCCTTTAGCTCCGCCGCCGTATTTCCTCCACCGCCACCGTATTTCCTCCACCGTCACTGTATTTCTTCCACCGCCGTAAGTTCCGCCGCTGTATAAATCAATCTAATTAGGTCCGTTCTATTTGCTATATATTATTTAGCAAATTAATAAATGTATTGCAGTGTATTTGTTTGAAATAAAAAAGCTTCAATTAATCCTTTTTTTATTTATAAATTTAGTAATAAATGGCGCATAGGTTGCTGAGAGATGCAGAAGCAGATGGATGGGAACGATCTGATTTTCCGATTATTTGTGAGTCTTGTCTTGGAGATAGTCCTTACGTACGAATGGTAATATTTTTAACTTTTTCTTTCCGTTAATTTTTCCTTTATTGAGTTTAAGTTCTATCACGGTGGAATTGATCCCTCTTTTTTTGTTAGTGAGGTGGAATCTAGCAACTTATTTTGTGCTAAATTTCTCCCAATTTATTGAGCTTCTCCATCCAAATCTAGTTGATTTTGGTTTTAAAAGGTCACCTTTTTGTTATTTTCTTCCTATGCATCGGAAGGTATTTTACATTTATACCACCAACTGAGACAAAACAACATCTGCCTAAGCCTTCGTAGGCAGGTAACTACTGTGTGCTAGTGGAGGTAGTACCTGGTGGAATAGGCGAGGTGCGCGCAAGCTGGCCCGACAATACCGTCCCAAAAAAAGAAGAGATAAAACAGTGTGCTAGCAGGGAGGACACTGGCATGAAAGCTGGACATAATTTGAGGCCTAGGGTGTGTTTGGTACGAAGTAAAATATTTTTCAATTTTCTCATGTTTGGTTGACTTAAATGTTTTGGAAAACATTTTCCTCATGAACTAATTGGATTTTCAAAACTCTTTTTCAACCTTCTCCACCCTATTCCCCATCCCCACTCACCCCATCCATCCCACACCCACTCACCCCATCCATCCCCACTCACCCCATCCATCCCCACTCACCCCATCCACTCACCAACCAAACGAGGAAAATAAGTGATAAAATCACTCATTTTTCATAAAAAATAATTTCCTTCGTACCAAACACACCCCTAGTCTTCCCAGGTTCTCCCTAATCGCTTGGGCAAGGTGGCAAAAAGATTAAAGAGAAAAAGCTTAACTTTGGTAAACACAAACTAATGTTTGAAAAATAACTTGCTGAAGTTATCTTCTTTTTTCTTTGTATTTTTTGTGGTAACCAAGAAATCCGTTGTGTCTACTTCGACATTCTATGGATAATGGGCTTGCCCTCTACCCTTTTCCACTTAAATACTAGACCTGGTTCACAATCAAGGATTCAAACTCGTGACGTGCACCTACCACACATCCTGTTTTGTACTAACTTGAGGAAGTTATCTGTCTTAATTTTTGATAAATGTAGCATTATTACCTTGATATAATATCCAGCAGTGCATTTCTGTGTCTTTGGGATTTCATATATCAGGAATCAGGGTTGCAGAGAACTAAGTTTCCGTCAGCAGTTTTATTGATGATGGAACAATTTGTTACTCACAGAAGGATTTGCATTTCTACTGGGTAAAACTAAAATAAGCAGGGCAGCTTTATTCAAATAAGGAACTAGAAAGTGTAGCTTTTGACATCAAATCGAACTTTAAAGGTCATAGCGTCGTTCTTTTATTCACAGTGGCCCAAGGGATTCTCATATGCCTCATTTTTTCACTGAAGTGATTATAACGTGTGAGGAAGCTGGCTGCTCATATTTAATAGAGACAACGAGTTAACTTATTTTCCTTAAGTCATAGGGGAAGAACGAGTGATCTTATTTTCATAGAGGAAAAGGTTGCTGACCCTCACTATAGTCCTTGTATAATGATTATTGATTGAGGTTATATACTTCCTTGGATCACGTTATTAACATAATAGATTCTAAATTCAGTTTACATGATGTTAACCAAGGACAACTTTTCCAAATTTAAAGTTGTATCCTGCCTTATTGCTTCTACTAGCCTTTCTATTGTCAAAAGGGCCTTCTTCATACAAGTAATAGTGATTAATCTTAGTTTTATGACGTGGTTACTGCTGCCCCCTTATTGTCAATTCACCTTTTCCTTTCCATGCTTAAGTATTGATTATTTTGATCTTGCCATTGTTTCCTTACAGACAAAAGCAGATTATGACAAGGAGTGCAAGATATGCACACGACCCTTCACAGTGTTCAGATGGAGGCCTGGTCGGGATGCAAGATACAAAAAATCTGAGATCTGTCAGACCTGCAGCAAGTTGAAGAATGTTTGTCAAGTTTGTCTTTTGGATCTTGAGTATGGTTTGCCAGTTCAGGTCCGAGACACTGCTCTCAGTATCAATTCGAATGATGCAATTCCCAAGAGTGACGTTAATAGAGAATATTTTGCGGAGGAGCATGACCGCAGGGTATGTGAAGTTTCAACCGGAAGCTTATTTTTTGTTATAACATGCATGTGTGCACCACCTGCATATTCACAGTTTACATGCATAAAAAGATCATACTTTTGTTCAAGCATTTGTCCTTCACTTTGTCTTTTATTATTGTTCCTCTCTCTCTCTCTCTCTCCCCCACCCCTTCATATACTGTTTACTACTGAAGACATCTGCTTGTTCCTATACTATCAGTGAACAAATATTTACTGGTGACTTTGAGGGTGCAAAAGTGGATTAGCCTATTTGAGAATTTGCTGAATCTTTGAGCCGAAATTTTCTTTTAGCCCAGAAGTGATTTATTGGGGTTGTGTTATTATTGGGTTTTCTTCCTTCCTTCACCCCTAGGGAGGAGTACATCATTTGCTTCAGCCAAAACTGTTGTATGCTAATCACTCAGGATTTTCTAATTTTTTCTGTCGACTTACAAATCTTTCTGACCAGGCGAGAGCAGGGATAGATTACGAATCTTCATATGGGAAAGCTCGTCCAAATGACACTATTTTGAAGCTCCAAAGAACAACTCCATACTACAAGAGGAATCGGGCACATGTTTGTAGTTTCTTTATACGTGGTCAATGTACAAGAGGTTTGGAGTGCCCTTATAGGCATGAAATGCCTGAGACTGGGGAGTTGTCACAGCAAAACATTAAGGACCGTTATTACGGGTATGTGCAACCTAATCTTTATCCTGTCAATTTGAATGCTATTCGTTTTCTTTTTCAATGTTCGTTTGACTCTGGATATGTCTACTCCGCATGTAGGTTTTCTGTTTTGTAGTAGAAGTAGACATAATATTGACATTTAATCTCCTGGTGTCAACCGTTGATATGTGCCTTTTAAATATTGGCTGTTTAGAGTATATTCCCTTGTAACTTTGGTGGTCTATTCCTTTTTGACTGTACTATATTCATCCCAGTGAACACCCAATAAAAATAAAATAGCTTTTTCAAATCCTCGCACTCTTCCCAACCATGGAGTTTAAAAAGAAAATAAAGGTTTTGCTTGTTCATACTTTTTGTTGAGGACTGTGTTGCATAATATTTTCTGAAATAAACAAAATATTTTTTCCTAAAACCTCGTCCAATGTTAATTTATACTATATTAAAGCACGAAGGCCCTTAGAGAAATGTCGTTCGCCCTTTTTACCCTTTTAAAATAGAGTTCACACTAGATAAAATAGTCTTTTAATTATTTCCCTATTATTGAGGAATAGTCACTTAACTTTTTTCTAATATTTAAAAATAATTATTTAATTATATTCCTAATATTTAGGACTTTAATTTTCAATTCTTTCCTTTTCTATAATTCATACACTTTCAACTCCATTTAAATTTAAGAATATTAAATACAAACTAGGAAAGTTTCCACAACTTTCAATTTAGGAGTATTTTTTCTTCTAATTTTTGTAGACCGTTTGCCTTTTCTTTTATTAGAATATCTTTGAGCTTAGTACTAAATCTTTTCAAAAGATATAATTTTAGGAGTACAAATTAGCTGACTAAGTAATATTAATGCATATACCATTTTATACGTGAAAACAAAATAGTAAAAACAAAATGAGGTTACAATTGGCCGAAAAATTGTTTATGTATGTTTATGGAAGTAAAAAATAAATACAACAGAATATAAGGAATCATAAAAAATAAAAATAAAAAAGCAAAATATTTTTTCTGAAATTTTGCCAGAAAAATATTTTTAGAAAAAACAAACAATTAAATTATTTTTTTGGATTAAATTGGACTTACTTTTAAAAAGTCGTTATTTGAAAGAGAACTGATTATAGACACATAAGAAATTTAAAACGCTACATATATGGAAATTGATGAAAAGAATAAATTCTAATTCTGATCTTAACTTGAATTTCATATTCTAACTCCTTCCAAGAAGTATGAACATAGTCCTTTCATAATCAAACAATTGCAAGTAATACTACTGCAATCATATACTCTTGCTTTCCATAGAAAACAACATTTGGATGCATCCAAATGAAAAATCTATTAACAAAAAAATAATAATCTAGGATGCATGATTATGTATTTAGACAAAGAAAGAATTGTAGATTAACCATACTGTAGTGGTTGATTTAATTTATTTTTGCAATAATAATTTATTCTTTTCTAATATGTTGGAACAATTCCTATGTAGTATTTATTAAAGCAATAGAACAATTTGCATTTTGATAGAGAGAAAAAGATGTCTTTGTAAGTTAGTCGATCATATTTTTGTTTTTTTAAGAATGAATTTAAAACTATAGCGCGTACTCTAATACTAGTATCTAATAGACAAGTAATCTAACAATCTAAAATCAAATAATAAGTAATAGTTAAGGTTCTATTTGTACTAGGAACAAAAGGGACATACAAGATGGATGGAAAGAGTTTTGATAATTGGCTTAATCAGGGAAACTACAGATAGAAAAGAATATACCTATCCTATGGATCCGTCATCCAAGGAATGAGCTTCTCTAGAGGCAAATCCTGTGGAATGCACTCGGCAACAGCAGCTGATTCAACAGCCATGCTGGCCTTTTCCTTTTGTTTTAATCCTTTGCTAGTTTTGAACAAATGGAGATGAAAGTAGTTGCTTGATGACACACGTGGTTAAGGACTATGTTGCCTTGAATTTGATGATGCATAGCTGAACTTGTACGTGCACCTCAATATAGTCTCGAGACTAAGCCACATTTTTTCCTAATTTTTAATGTTATCACAACAAATATCTCTGTCCATGTAAATGACCATTCACATTCTCAGTTGAGAAGATTTCATAGTGAAAAATCAGAGACATTTTAACCTTAATTTGCTCGCCTATTAGTCATATCCTCGCATCAGTGTTGATGATTTTTTCATTTATTTATCAAAATCAGTGCTAATGATCTTTTAGTTTCTTTATTTCCTAAATAAGAAACCTTCGGAAAATCAGACACCTCAATAAACATCCATATCTGGCACCCTTAACGAGTCTAGGTAGCATTCATGTCGAGTATATCAGAGAAGGTGGGACTAGCAAGGTCGCCCTAACACCATAGTTCGCCTTCTAGATTAAGTTAGGCAAGATTGGAAGGATCCATTTCTTCTCATACTCTAAGCAGCTAATGCCACACCATTTTACGTCTTTGAAATATCCACCTGTTCTTGTCTCTTTAGGTTCACATCGTGACTAGATATTAACATCTTGTTGAATGTTCTCTTTCCTGAAGATTTATTGTCCTAATGATCTTCATTAACTTAAAAGAGCTATATTACTATCTTATTCATGTTTTTTGGCTTATGTTGTGGCTCAAGAAGTGTTTTCATTATGTTACCTGCAATGCTTGCAGAGTTAATGATCCCGTGGCTATGAAGCTACTGAATAAGGCAGGTGAAATGCCTTCATTGGAGCCCCCAGATGATGAGAGCATTAGAACCCTCTATGTGGGTGGTGTTGATGCAAGAATCAGCGAGCAGGATCTAAGGGACCACTTTTATGCACATGGAGAAATCGAGTCCATTAAAATGGTGTTGCAGCGTGGTTGTGCTTTTGTAACCTACACGACAAGAGAAGGTGCAGAGAAGGCGGCCGAGGAACTAGCGAACAGGCTAGTGATAAAAGGCTTGAGACTGAAACTTCTCTGGGGGAGACCACAAGCTCCTAAACCAGAGACCGAGCTGTCTGATGAAGCAAGACAGCAGGCTGCTGTGTCACACAGTGGATTGTTGCCCAGAGCTGTCATATCACAACAGCAGAATCAGCTTCCTCCACCCCCAGGCACACAGGAACAACCCCCACCGATGCCATACTTCAACATTCCGCCAATGCCTCAGCAAGAAAGAGCATATTATCCGTCAATGGATCCTCAGAGGATGGGTGCTGTAGTTCCATCTCAGGAGGGGGCTTCTAGTTCAGCTACGGGGTCAGGTCCTGAAAACAAGAGTGGTTCTGAGAAACAACCACAAGTACAGCAGCATTATGCGTATCCACCAGCACCTCCACCTCAAGGTCAATTTTACCCGCCTTACTATCCACCCTATGGCTATATGCCTCCACCACTGCCTCAACATTATCAGCAGTATCCCCCGCCTTATCAAGCTGCCAGACCTCCACCACCTCCTGCTGGTGAGCAAGCAGCTTATCAGCAGAAGCCTCAACCAGCAGTACCGGCAGCACAGCAACCTTAATTCAGTTTTGTCCAGCTGCTCCGATCAAGAAGAATCTATGTAAACTGACGTTTTATATTTTCAGTACTGCAAAAGAATTATTACTATGCGAGCCATTTGAATTGAGTATTTGATTCTGTTTTGCCAATGCAAATTTCTATTGTATTAGGTGCCTCTGTTGCAGTCGTTCATTTCTCTTCAAGCTTTGATTCATTCTCTCTATACTCTTGTCTCCTTCAGCCTTAGAACCGAGACTAACTACAGTTTCTCATCATTTTTCTGAACTTTACATTCTTACTGCATGTTCGAAAGTTTATTTTCGAGTTTCCTGCTATTGGTCCATGTTCCTTGGGAAATAAAAGAAAATTTCTCACTGAATTTGGAACCTCTATGTCTTAATATTGAGACACGGCCAGTTAAGTAATGTAGTTTGGTTTATGCACGGGGGGTATTTGGATAAATTTGTTACACCTTACTACAGGAACGGGGAATTGGCATAATATAGAACTTCACATATTAAAATATTACTAGTATGGATAGCCCGTGATGTGCACGGGCTCAATAACAGTATGTCTGGCAGCAAAGCTAGAATTTCATTATGGATTAAACTCAAAAGTTTTAGTTTAAATTTTATATTTTCTTTGATAATTTATTGGATATGTATGAAATACTATTTTAGAACTCCAATGACTTAAAATGATAGAAATTCATAACTTATAAGCTTTAAATCTTGGTTGTGGCACTGAGTATGCTAAACATTTGAGCTTTTTTTTATAAATGAACTCTTGTATGAGAGTCCATCATGAAATAGCATGAGTAAATTTTTGCTTAACTTGTATATATTTATTTAAAATAATTGTGCATAGGTTCTCCGGCAATTCTATCCTCCGTTTAGAACAGTACCATTTGTGATTTTGACACATATAATTAGCATTAATATAAGAGTAATTTAGCTAATTAATTTCTTATATCTTCATTTTGGGACTTATAAATTTTCTTTTTAAGCAAATCAATGGATATGTGCATTTATTCATTGAATTTTACGATTCATCCTCAAACGATGGGAGACCGACGGAAAATGAGTAACAGGACAAGCATTTTAAGTTTTTCCATATTCAAAACAGGTAGAGAACTCCATAGCAACTACTGTGGATTTCCTTTGTCGTTTGAATATTTTTATAATACAAATCCTAGCATTGGAACATAGCAGGAAGTTATTTGCTTACTAATTAATCTGAAAAATATAAATGAAGCTCAGACACTCACATGGTCAGAGAAAGTAATATAGTTACTGCAAATGGCCACATGTTTCAAGGAGGCCTTAAAAAGTGAAGGTGAAAATTTGAGTTAAAAGGTTTTTCAAGTTTATCTAGTATAAAACTAACTAAATTTAAATTATACGTTGATATTTCAATGAAACTAAGCATCTATTAAAAAAAATATATTCATTAAATAATTTTGTTATTATTTAATTCTTGTGTTATAATCCTCGTAGTATAATTTGGATATAATTTTTGTGTGGATCAAACGATACCTAAAATAAAGCTTTTTTTATAATCCCATGAGCAACAATGGAATAACTCTACATAGTGAGGTATTCTCTCCGGTCCATAATAAATGACCAGTTTATTTTAGGTACGCCCATTAAGAAAATACTAAATTCTATGCAAAAATACCTAGTATGATTAAACTACCCTTAATTAAATATTAATATGAGGAGTAAGAAAACTTTTTAGCGATATGCATATAAGGGTAAAAGAGTAAAAAAATATTTTTTGATTATATAAATGGATACTTATTTTGGACCAAAATAAAAAAATAAATTGATCGTTTATTGTGGACGGAAGTGAGTATTTATCTAGAGTTTAGTTTTTAATCTTTTGAATGTTAATCTAATGAGGTCCTTTGATGATGAAGGTGTAAGGGCACATTTTCCAAGGTTTTCTTTTGCTAATTGAGAATCAGAGATAATGTACGAAAAAAGCACAGTTAAAAAATTGGAAAGCTCATCCAATTAATGACGTGCCACTTGGCATTTAGATGGTAGATTAGCTTTTGACACTAAGCAAAAGCCTGACGATAGGTAAGGAAAAAAACTGGCGTAACTCAGCCCAAAGCAGAAGGGTAAAATAGTCCCAAATATAAAAATATTTCTGAAGCGGCTACAGTACGATTTTTTATTGATCAATCATATTTTCCAATTGTATGGTAAATGACTTAAATACCTTTAGATGAAGCAGACATGTTGACCGTGCCTGCTTATCCTCTCTTATATAATAGTAATGAAATAAAGAAAGGTAGTTCATTTTGTCCTAATATGATTTTTTGTGGTTATGACATATGTCTTGATATTGTGTTTTTGATTCTCCTTTTATTATATATAGATGCTAAAATATGAAATCAAATCTTAGTCCTATTACGATATATACCATGATTTTGGCACTATTGATTGACAGCAAGCTAAAAGGGTAAAAATGTTGGTAACATGATTAGTCACGAGACTACTTTAGGGAACCAACATACTAGAATCTGCTAAACCCCAAAATCTTTATGGTCCACACATTCCTAAATTCACTAACTTCCAAGGCAAAAGTTAAGAACAGAAGATAGCAAACAACCAGAAATGTTATCCTACGTAATGGTAAATGTATTTTATATGGTTCACGAGAAGTTTGAACTCAAGGGTGTGATCTAGCTATCGATAAGTGAGTGCAAATTATGAAAATCAAGATTCAATTTCAGCATAGACAAAAAATGCTAGGCCTCTTTCTCCTATTAGTATAAGTCTTGTCGGGCAGAGTTACCCCGATACCATCCAAATATCCATGCGGGTAGGAGGTAACAGTTACTCGATAAAATATTTGAAGTACGTGCAAGATGACCCAATATCAAGTTTCCAATAGACTCGATAGTAAGTACCCGATAGAATATTCGAGATGTACTCAAGCTTGCTTTATAGTAGATACCCGATAAATTTAATATTAAATACTTAGTGAATAATCGAGGTGCGTGCAACTTGGCTAAACATTACCTAAAAAGATGGTTCACAAAAAGTCTGAAGGCTCTTTCTACACACTTTCAATCTTCCTGCCACCTGTCTAGACAAAATCTTAGTGTATATTTGTGGTGAGAGATGAATCTCCTTTTTCTTAGAAGTAGTTATTTTGAAGATAGAGTTTGTTTTCTTTAGAATATTGCATAGTTTTTAGTAGTTTGTATCTGTTAGGCCTTCAACACATTTGCAGACCTCTATATCTTATTGGGGACATGTGAAGGTTCTTCTGCTTTCATTTTCATTCTGGATTTTAATCACATGAAAGCTTGGCTGTTTTCCCTATGTAAATTGACCACCAACCGCTTTGCTTTGTTTTATGTGAACGTTTGTTATTTTTAATAGATTTAAAATACATACGTACGATTGATAGTGTCAAGATCTTTTATACAAGTAGTGTAGCATGTGATAGACGGTTAGTTATCATTATTAACTAATTAGGTTCCCAATTAATACTTATAATGAAGATTTATTTGAAATCACGCACTTTATAGGTGATTGATTTAGTAAACCACCATACCTCCATATGTAAAGTTAATTTTGCGTCAACCATTGAATTTTATCCAATATAATATTATACTCAAAAAATTATCTTCAAAAATATTTTTACTTAAATCATCTAGCATCCGGAATCCCTCGGCTCGATTGAAATGGATTAACCACCATAGAAAGCCCACTAATAGGGTCGAGGGGTTTTGAGCTTCTTATCAAGGAGACTTCATTTACAGAATTGGAACTCGAAACCTCTGGTTAAGTAAGTAAGTAAGAAACTTTACCTATAAATTCATCAGCTGACCTTCCCAAACAACATAAACCATCAAACAACATCTTTTTTTTTCTTCTTGTTTCTCTTTTGGTCATCACTGCCTCAGTTAATACATAAATTCTTATCAACAAAGAACAAAATGGAGAAGATGCCTTGCTTGATGCTACTCCCTCTTCTAATAATAATGCTTCTTCTCGTTGGAACTCATGTAAGTTATCATTTAAATACTCATCAGCTTCCCCACCCACAATCCGAGACGAATTCAAAATTTAGAGTCTGTAAATACTATACGTTGTAATTTTTTTTAAAATATATGTCTACATTATTTAAGTCGAAAATAATAGATTCAATTCAATCCGCAAAACTTGCTCTAGATCAACCTTTCTAACAACATCACTTCCCTCATCTCAAAGTTTTAACATTTAATTTTCTTTTACAAATTTTCTTTTTTTAATTTGATATTTGGCATTGGTTTTTGTTACCAGGCAAAAATAACAGAATCTCCAGCACCTCAGCCTCAACCTCCTAACACTTTTCCAATGGTGAGTCATATTATGAACAATCTGAAATAATTCTCATTTTTTTTTTTTTTTTTTTTTTTTTTTTTTTTGGTGGTTGTTGTTTGAAGTTGCTAATTCTTACTTATAAATTTGGTTTTTCCCTTGCAGAATGGTACTACTCCAGGTAGTCTCCATCCACAAGGTATTAAATGAGTTCTTATTTTACATATTGTATAATTTGGCTACTGAGGGCGAAGCTACATGTCTTAAAGGGTGGTCAATTAATACCCTTCGTCGAAATATTACACTGCGTATATAGGTAAAATATTAGGTTTTAAATGTATATAACATATACCGAATACCTTTTATGGAATTTTTTTGCACTTGTTTCAAATTTGAACACCCTTAAAAAATTTTCTGCCTGCGATACTTAACTAAACTATCCCTAAATAGATGAGTGGAATTTGTAATTCTTCTTAATCAAAGTGTCATGTTATACCATATGAACTTAAGTAATTTTTTTTTTGGCTACATTTTGCAGAATGTCTACCAAGGTGCACATATAGATGCTCAAAGACACAATACAAGAAGCCATGTATGTTCTTCTGCCAAAAATGTTGTGCAAAATGCTTTTGTGTTCCTCCTGGGACTTATGGGAACAAGCAATTTTGCCCTTGCTATAATAACTGGAAAACTAAGAGAGGAGGTCCTAAATGCCCTTAAAGATCATAGAGTCCTTGAAAGAACCTTTACATTATCAGTGTAATTTTAACCCGTTATAGCAGATTGTATATTTTATTTTCAGATTATTAGTTTCACTTATTACGAGTAATTTCCTGCAGTTATCTTTTAGTAACCAAATAATATAAAAATAATTTTATATTGTCAGTATATAAAAGTTAAATTTTCTTTATTTATTGCATAAGCACAATAAGTTAATGAATTTGGTAATAATACCAAGCGTGAATAAGTATTCTCGAGAGATTAACCCCTCACTATGAAAGTAGAAACATGTATTAAATACGGGGCACATATAAAAACGGGCCGAAATATGATACATTTTAGGGTGATCTTAACTTTTGACCCCCATTTGCCCATAGCAGAACCCAGTCAAAAGTTAAAAGTGCTGCCGGTAAGGCAAGCGAGGGTCCAACACTTGTTAAATTTGAAGTTTTGCTACGGGGGAGACAATTATTCAAGATCATCAACTTTGAGGGTTATTCGTGTACTTCACCCATGTATGGGTTATTGGGAAATCAAGAAGGCCCATGGACTTGATTAGTGATCTACATCATAAATTGTGCCCCTTTCCCAATTTTGGATCCAAAATATTTAGGCCCAATACCACAATATATTCACATTAGACTTGTACTTCATGATTTTTGTTTCTGGGTGTGTGCTTGTTTTATTGTTCTCAGGGTCGTTTGGTATCGGGAGTAAAAAAACAATTCGTGGGATAAACTTTGGGATTATTTATGGTGTTTTTCATTGAAATTTTTTATTTTGGAAAAACAATTTTGGAATCATCTCATATCATAAATCATAATCTTGGTTTTATTTTACCCAATGTTCTAATCCTTGGATAAAAGTAAAACAACCAAATGATAAGAGATGCCTTCTCTCAAAACTCTTCTCCCGAAGTCGTTTAAGAAAGTCAATGTTACAATTAGAAATAAAAATTTATTCAAATTTATCCAGTTTTAAGTTCTGTGTTATAGCTCATATATTTCATTTTTCATCCAATGAACCAAATAAAATACTTATATTAAATAATGAGGAATTTTATTTTATTTGATCATATGTTTTGTTTCACGTGCATTGTTTTATTAAAGTCTTCAAAGGACAACAAAAAGAAGTGGAAAACNAACCCCAAAACCCACCTCCATTTTTTTTACTTTATTTATATTAGAAAATCTAAACTATTTAACTTTCATATACTAGCAAAATATTATTTCTAAATTCATGAGCCTAACCTCAACAAAAAAGTAAAATACCAAATTTATTTTGTAAGAATAGAGCCTTCATTTAAAAAACAAAATAGCAATCAAGCATAACTTTCTTTTTATGATGTCAGGAGATCAACAAATTAGAGTTTATCACCCACAATTGTGGTGAAACGAATATAATCCCTCTTTAATTGAACTTGTGTGGCTCAAATCCAGATTAATCGGATTCAAATACTAGACAATTATTGGAAAACCAGAACTAAACTTTATTTGTTTTTTGAATACTCTTAGCCTGTATATATTCTAGAATATTCAGCCATTTCTCTTTCTTATTTACTTTTATATTTAATAATCTTTTGGATGGAACGTTCGGATATTTTTTCAAAAGATGAATTATATTCTGTCGTGAACAAGAAAGTCGAATTGACTAATTGAGTATGAACATAATTGAATTGACTTAATGGAAGAAAGAAGGTGCGTAAGCTCATTTTGTCTACCACTAGGTCGTGGTAGGATGTATACTATACTTTTATTTTTAATTAGAGATTTCGGGTTTGAGCCTTAGCAATAAAAAGATTTTGGTAGAATAAATATACGGACACCGAATGAAAAATCAAAAAAGAATGAAGTTAGTTTTGCCACAAATCTTACTTTTTTTTTTTTGTACTAGAAAAGCATTAGAGCTATTGGAGTTGGGGTTACCTGAAGTTGGACCAGTTGTGTATTTATTTGTAACTGGGTCAGGCCCTCTATTCTTTTGATTCTTAATATACTAGCTAATAGCCCAAGTAGCTAAGAGCTCATATATAGATTGATATACTGAATATTGTAAAGGTCTAGAACATTCATTCTAATAGAAAAAAATTAAGTTTTCTCTGCTGAAGCTCTCTCTCTCTCTCTCTCTCTCTCTCTCTCTCTCTCTCTCTCTTAGCTCGTGTGTAACCCTAGTCACATGTTCGTCAATTCTTCGTGATTTCTCAATATTATCATGGTATCAGAGCCCGAATTTTGAGAGATCTCAGCATTCCCTTCCGATCGATTGTACCCTCAAGCGGTTTTGATGAAATTTTGTGTTTGCATGTATTCCTGATTTCGGAGTCATTTAAGTTTTTTGATAGAATTTTGAGCTTCTTCTTTTTGGTTCTCATCTCATTCGTCGAGTTCAGAGGATATATTGTAGCGATTGCTCAATTTTGAAGTTCTGCATCATTCTTAGACCTAAGGTTTCTAAAAATTTAATTTTTGCGGGGTTCGAGCTTCATCTCCATATCCCGATTGTATGACTTCTAATTTTCTTTCAAGGTCGTATCTTCCGGTAGCGAAGAGTTCCGGTAATATTGTTCCACCTCTCTTATTAGCTGCATGCCATTCTGATTGCCAAAGTTTGACTGATATAGTTACTCATTCGAGATATAGTACTTCATTACTGATTTGTTAGTCTATTGTGTTGTTGTTCTTCATAAAAATGGGTAGTACTAGTGCTAGTGAGTGTGAATTCACTCCTCGTGCCTCTAGTCCTTTGTTCCTTCATTCTTCCGATGTTCCTGGGGCCTCTCTAGTTAGTGTCCCATTCTCTGGTAGTGGTTTTGGGGGTTGGAAAAGGAGTATGACTGTGTCTCTATAAGCCAGAAATAAAATAGCTTTTGTCGATAGTACTTGTCCAAGACCTGCTGCAAATTCACCTGAATGTAAGCAATGTGATAGAGTTAATAATATGGTCATATCTTGGCTAACAAGTTCTTTCTCACCTGAAATTGCTGAGAGTGTGCAGTACTCTGAGACTGCTGAAAGCATTTGGAACCAGCTAAATAATAGATACGAGACAGTAAATAGGACTAAAATCTTTGAAATTAAGAAAGAATTGGCTTCTGTTTGTCAAGGGTCTCTTGACATAGCTTCATATTTCAACAAGTTAAAGAAACTCTGGGATGAGTTGGGAATAATGTCTTCCAATCATGCAAAGACATGTGCTTGTGCTGCAAAGGCTGGTCTGCAGGTAGAAGAGGAAGAAAATAGGGTCCACTAGTTTCTTATGGAGTTAAACGAAACATATATCGATGTAAGGACCAATATTTTACTCATGAATCCACAACCTTCTCTCGATAATGTTTACAATATTCTTCTGCAAGATGAACAATAAAGACAAGTCACTCATACTATTCAATTCAGTCCTGATATGGCCTCATTAAATGCAAACACTACCAACAAATTTTCTCATTAGCCTAATTTTCAGAGATAATACACCAGAATATTAACTTACAATAAAAGAATGCCTTTTAAACGAATAAACGGTTTCCTTTTTGTAAATACTGTAAGAAAAATGGTCATACTATTAACAAATGCTATATGCTGCATGGATTCCCACAGAATTTTAAAGTTATAAAGGGTAGAAAGTTTGGTGCTACTGCCGATATTGAGTCTCCTCTCTCTGGGCATCCTGGCAATGCTTCATCATCTGGTTCTGGTGGACAAAATTCTCATATACCTGGGCTGACTAAGGAACAATGCACTCAATTGATGATGCTTTTGCAGAGTTCTAGATTGGAGTCCAATTCTCCACCCAACCTTGAGGCCTCTGCAAACTTTGCTGGTAGTGTATCCAATCTACCTGTTTCTTTTTGTGAGAGTTTTACTGCATGCATGTTATTTAGACTTGCTAGAAGTGTTTGGATAGTATATTCAGGAGCAGCTGACCACATGACATCTAGCAAATATATTCTTTTTGACATTAAGCCACTTCTCATACCCTACTTAGTCTCCTTACCAAATGGATACAAGGTGAAGGTCACATGCACTGGATCACTCACTTTGTTTCCTTCTTTCACACTGCATGGTGTCCTTTTCATTCACATTTTTCAATACAATCCGATTTCTGTATACAAATTGATTCAACAATTTAGCACCTTTGTCTTGTTCACATCCTATTCCTGCTTAATACAGGACCCTTCCAGGAAGAAACTTCTGGAACTTGGTAGAGTGCACTATGGACTGTACAAGCTTCTTTCACTTACTAATCCTGATTCTTATGGTTCCAGAATCAACAATGTTTTGCCAAAATTAAATTGCATTTCTGTTTCAGATTTGAATAAGTTTGTACAAACCACAGTTCCACATTCTATCTCCCCTCTGAATAATGATGCACAAGTTGTAAATAGCAATGTTTCCTCTACTGTTAGCAATGTTTCTTCTACTTTTAGCAATGTTTCTTATATTGCTAGCAATGCTACTTCTACTATCTCTTCCATGAATTCTGTGAATAATCTTGATGTACTTTGGCACCATAGGTTGGGCCATATCCCTTTTGCAAAAATGAAAAATATGCCTAGTATTTCTTATCAGCTATCTTCTAAGCAATCCTTTGTTTGTCCCCTAGCCGGGCAAAATAGATTACCCTTTTCAAATAGTACTTCTCACTCAACTTCTTTATATCAACTTGTCTATGTTGATACTTGGGGTCCCTATCACATACAAACCTATACTGGTGCCAAATACTTCTTAACAATTGTGGATGATTAAAGTAGAGCAACTTGGACTCATCTAATGTATGCCAAGAGTAATGCTTTTCCTTTACTTAAGGCGTTTATTGCAATGGTCAAAAGACAATTTAATCTTCCTGTACAGACTATAAGAAGTGATAATACCCTGGAGCTCGGTTCTTCTTCATTAGCTTGTGAATTTTTCTCTGCTAATGGAATCTTACACCAGGCCACTTGCCCTCACATATCTAAACAGAATGGTGTAGTTGAGAGGAAGCACAAATATCTTCTGGAAACCTCTAGAGCTCTTCTATTCCAATCTAAACTTTCTACTAAATTTTTTTTTTTTTGGG